TTTTTCAAGTCATATTTCATAAAGTTTGTCGAGATAAATACAATATAATAATGCCTTAGATATTTAATAATTTAGAAATATGCTAGATATTCGCTCAAGTTGGTCTTCAACAATGAAAAGAGCGAGAAGTGAGGTGAAAGAAACGAGAGAATGGGTTAATAAATAGCAATGGATTATTATCGAAATATAGGAGGACCGAAAGGATGCGACTTGCCGGCGCATCGCAAGTTTCCGAAACTATCCAGGACCCTCTGCAAGTGACTGCCGTCTTATTGCCCAAGTTTGGAACATCCCAGGGGACAAAGGTTCATTTCTTGTGCACAAGTGTTTCTCTATTTTTCTCGCTCTGCCGCCTTTTTGGAATTTGCTCTGTCCCGAACGATCAAAGTTTCCCTGGACCGGTCATGAACAGTATGCGCCATACGGGACGATTGTTTCTCGCGACTTTTTTTCCATATGTGCTTTCTTTTGGACCGTCCATCCAACTGAGAATCATCAACGATGCGAAACATTCGCTCACTAGTTCGTTAACATGCGAATAATCTACTCCCTACGCGTTTGAACAACTAGATGACAATCTATTGTACCCGGACAACAAGCTGTGCAACGAGCGAAGAATCGGGAAGAGAAAGTAGCCAAATACGATGGTTGATTACAAAAGTTGTTCATCCATTACAACGATCAACGCTGTATGCAACTGCGATGATGAATTGGTCAATGCATCACATGACTCCCGGCTCGATTACGAATGAGTATACATATGCTCCATTTCTTTAGATGTCATGCTACTTGTTCAGTTATACACGTGTTACATGTTTTCATTATTTGCACTGACCCATTTGTACTCTTGTGGACATATATTGTTTTAAAGGCTTTTAAATATTCTATCAAATATATATATATATATATATATATATATATATATATATTTGATATATATATATATTTGAATATATATATATAGGGTTGCACGAAATACCAAGATTAGTCTTGATATTGTCTTGTCTTGTCTTGAATTTCAAGACAAGATCAAGACAAGATTTTTAATTAGTTATCAAGACAATACCAAGACTAAGACTGTCAAGATTATTAGTCTTGTCAAGATTATTGGTTCTCAAAAAAACTAAAATATTTATATTTGTAAATGAAAAAAAGTCACTATACACGAATTTTAAAAAATTTTATTAAATAAATACATTTATATTGATAAATTTAAAAACATTTAATATTAATACAATATAACAATTTTAAAAATTAGAAATTAAACTCGCAAATTTTAGACATTAAAGAGCATTTCACCCAGGAATTAATGTATATTAATGCTTTTAAAGATTTACTTTGTAATCTGGTTCTATTTTTTGACATAGTCAGAGTTCCTATTGAGAAAAGTTTTTCTAGAACGGACGAGACAATTAAACTTAAAATGTTTCGAGCCATTTTTGACAATGTGGGATAAATATGAACCTGATTTTTTTACCACTCCAAAATATTTATATCTGCACATTCCCTTGGAGCCTGT